GCTACAGTTATGACTTAATCAGACAATTCTTGGGGATTTTTCGAGGTTTCTGGAAAACTGGTTTTCCAGAAACCGATTAGGAAAGGCCTATTAGCCAAAACGGCTATCATATTCGGAATCAGTATGATCGATTACCTATAAGCTACCGCATTTCGTTAGAAAAGCGATTTGACAGTTGGATATGTTCCCTCGTTAGTCACACAGTGTACTGAAAAAGCCATGAAGACACAAGCACGATGCAATGGCGATTTTTCCTTAGTAGATTCGCCTAACCGTACAGTAGAGACTTGCAACCCGACCCGATCCTGGGTCGGGTCGGGTCCTGGTTCAGATGCTGCGGGTCGTGCCGGGCTCGGGCCAGCATTCTGATAGTCGGATCGGGTTCGGGTTAGGTTTTCTTAACCCGTGCAGGTCTCTAATCTCAAACTTCGGAAAGCATTCCAAGAGCTCCGGAAAGCTCCTGGAGCCGCCTTTTCCCCTTTGCATAAATGCCAGAAAATCCAGCAGTTTGTATACATAGCCTTCATAGCAACTATATACCGTACGGTAGAATAACTAACACAACAAGAACTTAGCTATTCTATAGACAGCATGTGAAATAGACAAAGTGTTGCTTTTCAGTTCTGACATCAATGAACCGGAAGCTGATTTTATTGCTCAAAGTAGTATTTTACGAGCATCGGCTCAATGTTCTGAAACATTATTAACCACGAAAGTGATCAATGACATTTCTGTATCATACATCATGAAAACAATACGAAAGTCTTTTACAAATAAAACCCTTTTGAAGAAAAACAGTATATCACCTATTATCGAAGAATATTGGCTTTGGTCAGCAGCTACCGCGTTCAATGAAATTAACCAGGGACTATTGAACTCAGATGAATTTCGTAGCTTTACACCATGTGGAGGCGTTTGTTTTGGTCTACACAAGAAGGATAATGATCATTACACTATTCGAACTGATCTAAAAGGGCAGATATATTGTTTTCTACCAACATGCATGGAATTCGATTTTCCGTTTCATATTAATGGGTGTTTTGCTGTTCAGTCAGATCGTCGTCGACTTGTAGAAAAATTTATCGATGACCGGAAGAAACGGCGGTTTCAATGGAATGATCTTGTTTTAAAAGCTGTTTGCAAAGCGCTTTTACTTGGTTTAGAAAACGCCTTAACCTTATGTGGTCCGCATTCATTTGAAACATTGACAAAATTCTGGCCTACTCCGATCGATTCATCATCACTTAAAGCGTTAGAAACAATTTTCCTATCAACACTTACTGATCCATCAAGAAATTATAAAGTACTTAGCGATGGAGATCATATCGGTTGTTTACAACAAAGTTGGTTTTTGAATGTCAGTTTTCCTGAGTTAATGCAAAATGTTATTTTGACTGAACTTCGTTCGAACTTGATGCATGTATTACAAAACAGCGGGTAAGTTGAGGACAATTCCTTAGTTGTAGAATAGGCACTGTCTCAAGTGTTGAAGTTTACATTTTATGCCAAAATGTGCTATCTAATCCTTCTACCCTTGAAAATACTATCAGTCATATCACCGGACTTCGAAATTTTCAAATGCGATTAGAGTCCGGGGGAAGGCGATATTCGGAATCAGCGTGGTCGATTGTCTATGGATCCACGATTTTTATCTCTGGGTACTTCCGGAAATTAAATTCGGGGGCCCTAAGAAAAAATTCGAAAAAAATTTACGCGCTAGCGAGGATTTGAACCTCGATACTGTCTCATCATGGACAGTGATTTTGACAAGGGGGAAAAAACAACACTTCACTACACTACACTATACTTTTTCCACTACGGTAGTGGTGTCGTAGTGACTTTGTAGTGGTAACGTAGTAAAAAATAAAGTAAGTCAGTGACATACTGAGCGATCCGTCTAAATAGATCTGTTTTAGCTACTGGCGAGGGAACCGCCCCAGGTGCCCAACTCCTATTTCCTTCATTCATACTTCGTTTTATAGAGCACACCGAGCTGGTAAAAAGCCTAAAAGGATTTTTGCCCATGCCACTTGAAGTCTCGGTTTTCTGCAAAACCAGTTTTGG